GTGTTAATTGCAGGTTCTAATTAATGTGACTCTCTCATAAGCATACACCAAAAAGAACAATGAAGGACTATTCTGCAAATTCCACAGAACAGAACCTCTTCAATCCTGGTAAGAAGGAACACCACATGTGTGTTTGAAGAATATGTTCTACAGATTTGAATCTAAAGAATGTTATAAAGCTCTCCTGATTGACATAGTGATTTTGTAGGTGATAAAATAATGAGTTTCCTATGAATGAGTCAATTAAAGCTACACCTATACAATATTTTTTTAGTGAATCATTCCATCAAGTTCAACAAAATTAATTGGCATTTGTAAAACTGTTCAGGAAGGTCCTAGCCTGGGCATGAAAATTCTCCTGAGGTAATCTGGAAAACCATTATCCCTTTTGAATGGTTGTCTCAAACAGCCATTGGAGGCCAACTAACCTTAAAACAGTAGGTAAAAAATTCTATTCATTGTGAGTCACCAGCAAAAGTTAAAGTAAGTGTAAATTGGGAGTGGCTGGTATGGGGAGCAACTTGTCTTCTTTTGTTTTACTGCTGGCTCCCCACTGTGGTTACTAATCTGTTTCCTTATATATATATATTTATGTATTATTTTATGCATCTAGAACTATGAGATTCCTGGGTAGGACTATGCTTTCATCTAACTTTCTGAAGCTCCCACCCAGCACAAAGGAAATGGGACTATTGCAATAGAATAGTGAAGATGGTTATTAGAGTTATGGACATGATTTTTTAGTTAACTGCTATCTATTCTGTGTTACCTACAGCAATTATAGCCTTCACTATAAGCAACTCCACTCATTTTGTGAGGACTTCTCCTAATTTGCATTGAGTTGTGCAGGTATTTGAAGGAATAATTAATTCTTTCTTTTAGTCTTTGATAATCTTTCTGTATAAATACATTGCAATTATAAAAATGAAGTTTCCATCTCAGAAAGGGACATGGAAGATTCTTCTGGGAATAAAGATGAACTAACGAGAAAGAGCCTTGTGAATTTCTCTTGAAACTTCCTCCCAAGAACACACAAAAATACTAATCTTTAAATGCAAAAGAACCAGCAGTGAAAGACACAAAAAGGTAGTACAATAGATGGATTGTTATGCTAAAAAGTATTTTTATTTCACAGAATCTGGAAGCAAGGGCTGTGATGATACTTCTTTCCAGCATGAAGAACATGTAGAACAAATAGACCAATTAAAGCCCAGGAAGGAAGTGTAGGTATTTTTTTAACTTAAAGTTAACTGGGTGTACAGGGATGTCAGAGTGGCAGGGGAAAGAGAAGAAGAACTTAATACAGGTTTGCTAAAAAAAACCCTCATCTTAATTAGTCTTTTGTACTCTACTCTAGGAAGGAAGATAAGAAGCCAGAGAAACAAATGGTTGGCATTCTTGAATTGGTTAGTGTCCTATCTGATAGTCTGCTTTATACTTTCTTTTCTTTATTTGGCATTGTGAGTTGTTTATTATTACAATTCATAGGCAACAAAAAACTGGAGGAGAAGCCTGAGGACTACTGATTCTAGACCTGCTGAGAGCCAGTGATAATGGTTTTGTGGCAGATTTTTGTAGGACAGCTGTGCCCAAAGAAGCATAGCTCTTGCACGTGGACTTGATTACCCTGAAACAAGAGAAGTGTTATTCTTCTGTGGTTTATTCCACGTATGTTTACACTTTATGAGATGGTTAGGCCATCTCATAAAGAATAAAATGCTCTGATTTCAGATTAACCACACCCTGGGATATCTATAGCAGTTTAAATTCACACCCTTCCTCTAACAAAACAAAGCTTCAGGGATAGACAAGTCTTAAGATACAATCTATCTCTGCTGAAAACATTTTCTACTGGTAGGTATAAACCAGGTGCTGGTCAATAACTCACTCTTGTTTACATAGTAGAGGCATTATCTTAGTTAATATGTAGCTCAATGGAACACAAAATACAATATATTCTACAAAGGTCATCATCACTTGCAGGAATGTATTTTTTTTTTTTTCCAGACTGAGAATTGTGTCCTACCAGTGTTCTCTTAGCAGCCTAATTTAAAGATTTGTACTATTGATTGACTTGATTTAAAGATTTTGGGTATTAATTTAAAGATGTGTTGCACTGCTACAAAATCTTTATGTACTCAGTTTACTTTCAGTTGGAGTGCTGCTACTTAGAATATGTGGGTGATGCATGTTCTGCAAGTCTGCTGTACTGTAGCAAATGCATGAACTGTCAGTGTAATGTCACTTTTTTCTCTTTTTTTTTTTCTTCTAATGCTTACATAGTTTCGCTATGCTGATGGGGTGGATATCCTGTTGATGATAGTTGGTTTGGTTGCAGCGGCTGCAAATGGCACTGGAATGCCACTTATGATCATTATCTTTGGAGAGATGACAAACAGCTTTGTGCTAAGTGGCATGCAATACAATGGTAAAAAGTTTAAATTAAATTTATCTACATCTTGGCTGTGCTTTGCTACTGAGGCTAAGATTCTTTTTTCCCCCAGACTATACACTGTTACATATCTAAAGAAGTATATTGTGAGCAACACTCATCCTGATGGAAATAACCCAGTCATTTCAATCCATCTTTAATGACTAGACCAGGGCAAAACCAAAGCATTGGATTTGCACTTTATGAATGTACTTTCACTTTATTGAGATAGTAGGGAGTACAGTTAACCTCAGTTATCACTAATTGCTTTAAAAAATGTGTATTTGCCAAATAATTTTGTATTTAAGTTTGTATTTTAAGACTCCACTTGGAAAATACAAAACATTCCCAAACATAATGACGTCTTATTGCCCTGAACCAATTCCTCTATATAACACTTCCACAAATATTCCTACTTCTTATTTACTCTTCACAGATACTTCAGTAAACAGTTCCAGCTGCCTGTCAGATCCAGGTGTGGATATAGAAGGTGAAATGACAAAGTACGTGTCTGTAGTTATCCCATTAATAATGTATTGGAGGTTTTTCTTTTACTGTGTTTTCTGTTTGAGCAGAAGCCATGTTTGCCTTCCCAATAATGCATCACAAGCATCAGTATTTACTTTGGTGTGATTAATGAACTAGTTGCTGCTCTGTGTGTCTAACTTCTCTCATGAGCAACATGGTATCACATGGGCTTTTGTTCCCTTATGCCAGGTTTGCTTACTACTATGTGGGAATTGGCTTTGCTGTGTTGATCCTGAGCATCATCCAAGTGTGGACATTTTTGGTTACTGCTACAAGGCAAACTGCAAGGATCCGGCAGAAGTTCTTTTTCTCAGTGCTCCATCAGGAGATGGCTTGGTTTGATACCACACAGATAGGAACACTGAACACCAGACTGACAGAGTGAGGGTTCTGTTTTGGCTTTTTTTTTACACACATACACACACCACCAAGTATGGCACTTAAAAGAAAATTGACATTTATCTCTGCAGAGAATAGACTATAGAGAGTTAAAAAAAAAAAAAAAAAAATCTACCAAACCTAAAGTGTGAAATATTACAGATCAAAGTGAGAAATTCATTATCCTTTTCAAAAAAAAAAAAAAAAAAAATCTACCAAACCTAAAGTGTGAAATATTACAGATCAAAGTGAGAAATTCATTATCCTTTTCAGCTTCATTTGTGCAGTTTGTGATATGTGCATTAGAAGGTGGTTTCCATGAAATGCCTGACACTGGCTTTCTGAAGTCATTGAAGTACTTATTCAGCCACTGCTAAACAAACAGCTCTGCTGTCTCCACCTAGTTTATAAACACCAAGAGCTAACACTTAATTGAATGGAAATGAGCCTGTACTTCAGTATCAGTACTCGTACAAGTATCGCCTGTACTTTTATCTCAAGCAGAGTCTAAACAGTCAGTTAAAGTCTTTGGAGTTGTTCCATAAACTTCAGTAGATTTAAGGGTGAGGACTGTAGTGCCCATGTGCTATGGGATTATATGTGTGACCACTACTTTTTTTAAAATTCTTTTTTTTTCTAGATTTTATAGTAGCTTTGGACACAGATCTGTCCTCAAAAGTGTATGAGAAGCTTAAATGAAACAACTCTCAACTCTAATATCTGTGTTCAGGGAAGAAAATTTGTGAGAAAAATGGAGGTTATTCCAAATAATGGTATGATGGAATAGAGGTAGCTCTTCACCTGAGTCAGTGGCCAAAATTACCAACATAAAATGCATCGGAGGGCTGAGCAGAAGTCATTTAGAGATGGTCAAGATGGGTGAAGAGGCTGCTTGACTGTTTACTTATACTGCTCCATCTGGATGCCAGATGAGGAAACTGGGTCATTGGTGACCTAGTGACATGGCACAGAAACAGCAGAGAATGTTGAGGGTACAGAAAATTAGTCAAAAAAACAGGAGGTTTCTGCTGCATTTAGACTACAGAAGAGCTTAATGGTAGACCTCAGTAGCTGTGGTTAGGAGTTTTCTTTTGCCAGTTAGGAAATGGCAAAGCTCCTGACATGAGGCCACACAACAAGAAAAGGGGGGAGGGAGTCAAAATGAGAATCATTCTAAACTAACAAATCTTTTTTTTATTATTGTTATTTAAAGTGACATCAACACCATTCGTGAAGGCATCGGAGACAAGATCAGTATATTTCTGCAGTTTTTTTCCACATTTGTGTCAGGGCTTATTATAGGATTCATCTATGGGTGGAAGCTGACACTGGTGGTTATGTCAGTCAGCCCACTACTTGCTGCATCAGCAGCAGTCTGGTCAACTGTAAGTGTGTGGGGATTTTTAAACAAAGAAACCAGAAAAACCTTACAATTCTTATGCACAGAAAAGGGGCAGAGAATGAGAGAAACCTAATGTGGTTTATAAGTTGGGAGGTTGGTCCCACTCTTACTTTGATTTCTACTCCTCCTGCAGCCTTTCTCTAGGCTCCCAAGCGCACTCTTGTAAGTTGTGTTCCTTCTGCCTGCATATCCTGTCCTCAATGCCATGTTGCAGGAGGATAATCTGCATCAGAGCATCTTTCTGGCACAGCATTTTCCTCATGGCAAACACTGGGGAAGCCCTCGCTTTTGCCTCCCAGCACAAATGCCTTTCAACCTCTTTCCATCTGCACATGCATGTACTACATCTCTTGCAAATAATTTACCAAGTTTCATGCTGTTTGCAGAATAAACCTATACAGTTATGCAGATACATACAGCTGCTGAAAACTGAAGTTATATGAATCAGTGAAATGGCTGGAGAGGTTTCCCTTTCAGATAGGAAAACTTTCCCCTTATGCAATGTTTAACCACATTAATGTGCATGGCTCATACCCCTGAAGGGCTATTTATATAATTTTATGGGGTTTTTCCTACCTGAAGCATCACAAGCTAAGAAAATGAATGTTAATGGCTACAATGTGATTGTCTTGCTTACTTCAATATCTGCCGGTGCTCTAGTGTCTGAACATCTCACACTCAGAGCAGCTGCAGCACACCCTCCATCACTTTTCCTAGTGTAGTTTGTAGGCTTGGGAGGAATGTGGATCGATCAGGAAGCTCACCTGATGTTTGTGTAGCCTTTGATTGTAATGAGGAGACAGTGATAAATTGAACTCTATTTGAGGGAAATTCAGGGTATGGGAAGGAGCTGACCCTCACGTTGCTAAAGTCTGATCTTGTGCACCTTGTGTGATTGTTGTTATTCACCAAGACGGTGTGTGTATTCCTTCAGTAGGCTGCAATAACATTTGTTTTCCAACTTTAGCTCCTGGCATCGCTTACTGCTAAAGAGCTGTCTGCTTATGCCAAAGCAGGAGCTGTGGCAGAAGAAATTTTGACAGCAATCAGGACTGTTGTGGCTTTCAATGGACAGCAGAAGGCATTAGAGAAGTAAGTTTTTTAATTAATACTCGTATTTAAAATATGGCAAGGAATTTTAATTGTGGGTTTGGTTTATGTTTTTTTTGTTGTTGTTGTTGTTGTTGTTGTTGTTGTTGTTGTTGTTTTTGGTTTTTTTTGTGGAGGGGCACAAGGATGAGATTTTCCTTTGTGTCATTTTGTCTTTGTATAAGTGGATGAATCGGGTGAAAACAAAGGTGTGCAAATAGACCTAGTCAGTGAGTATAGGATACTTGGTGCTGTCACTGCAGCAGAGATGAAGATTTTTCCTTTGACTAAGATCTGGAGTTGAACTGAATGTGAAAGTGGTGGAAAGTGGTGACCCCTGAGTCAGATGCAATAAAGCATGCAATCAGTTGCTTATCTTCTTCTGCTAGTGTTCTGGTCTTTGATTACTGAGCTTATTTTTAAACTACACTGTATAACAGCCTTGGGTAAAATCAGGTTACTGGCTTTTACAATGATTTGCAGCTTTAATGATTTGCAAACAACATCTGTAGTTTTCCAGTATTGGCCCTACTCACACATAGAAGGCAAAATTATTGTGGCTGGCCACAAACTTGGACATGCATATCAGATAACTCAACAAGCATAAGCAATACATTTTTTATACAAATACAAGGCATCACTGATTCCCTGCAGTTGGGAAAGGCAAAGCAGAAGACCTGATCCATATGCCCCTTGAAATTTTTCTATCTTTTTCAACTCATGTTTGCCTTTGTCTTGTGCAGAATTTTTAAGGTAGTGTCAACCCTAGCTTAGGATCCTACAGCCTGTTCCTGCATTTGCTTTCAGGGACTGAGCTCTGACTGTCTTATAGCGCTGTCTTCTGCTTATTGGAATTTGTTTTTAAGATGCAACAGTATTTGGACTGTTCCTGTTTGTAGTGTAAAGGCAAAAAAAGCCCTAAAATTACCTAGACAAGTTGCCCCTCCCTGCCCCTCCCCGTCTTCTGTAATTACCAGTATCTGAAAATTGAATGACAGGAGCTGTCAATATTAATTCAAAATACTTTGACTAAAGACAAAATAATTGATATCTGAGTTAAGTAAAGCCTTTCCTTTTTATGATTAATCGGTCATTCTCTTCCACTGTTCTACTTCCATTTAATATAAAAACCTAAACCAAACATAGTGGCTCCCCTAGGAATATCTTCTACTAGGGACAAACTCCTAACAGGGAGTGCATTTTTTCAGATAGTGGATTGTGACTCCTACGTAGCTCTTGAATGCTGACCTCAGAGCCAGGAAAAACATTCTTTCACTGCACAGTGCTTCCACTGACAGCAAAATTTACTCTTGCAAGAGATCTTCAGTCACCTTTAGTTTCTGGCAGTGGCTTGGCTTTTCCTCAGTATTTGAGTGATCACCTACCTGTATTAATTACACTACTTAAATACAGTACCCATTTCCCTGGAAGACCTATGATGCTGCTGACTCAAATTTAGGTTTTAAGAGCACAATCAAGTCAAAATATTTCAATGTTTGACTAACAAATACTGCACTGGTGGCATCTTAGAAATTTACATTAACAAAATTAATGCAGTTTTTTTTAAGATTGCTTCTCAGCTGAATGAATTGCATGTCTTCCTATGATGGGGTTGTACTTTATTGGGAAAAGAGTGCAAGCTACTGACCATGATGATAACAGCTAGAAAGTTACACTATTCCTAGGCTACAGTTTGCATAATGAGCTTGAGTAAATGAAACCTATTTGCTGAAAACTATGGATGAGTGCATGAATTTGAACCATCCTTAGAAAAAATAATTCTCTTGTTGAACTTGTTAGTCTCTATACTGATCTTCTGCATCTACTGGTTATATATGTTAATCAGTAAACTGAACAAAGGGAAAAATACTTAACATCCCAAAATGGCCAGTAAGAGAACAACTTTGCATTTGGAGGGAGCTCTTATTTATCTTCTTCCCTATTGCCTGGGGTTTTAGGAGGATTTTATTTTTATTTTGCTTGTTTTAAATGTGGCCAGCTAACCTTTACCTTTGTGATAAACAATGCTGCTAAAACCTTTTCAAGGTTTCCTTTCAGCATCAATGTAAACAATGAGTTCAAGAGTGCTATTGTGTCTTCCATTATGATAACAAAGTTGTGGTGCTTAATTGTTTTCTGAATGTCTTCCATAACAGTATGCCAATATTGTTGGCATATGTCAGAGTAGATTTATTCAAATTAATTACCCCCCTAATAGTCCTCTGTAAAAAACTCAAAAAATAACCTATATTCTGAGATTATAATTAGTTTTCTTACATAAATCCTTTTAATTAAGAAAAGAGCACTGGAAGTATTAACCAGAATGGCATGTGGTACCTATCAAATTAATGGTTTCCTTACTCACTTTCAGATATGATGCTAACTTGGAGATGGCTAAACGTGTTGGAATGAAAAAATCCATTACCACTAACACATGCCTAGGTCTTTCACAATTTTTTATCTTTGGATCCTATGCCCTTGCATTTTGGTATGGGACCAAGCTCACTGCTGAGGATCCACATTATGACATTGGCCGTGTGTTAATTGTAAGTACAGCAATGCAGCTTTGAAAATTGTTCTGTATCTTCAGGGAAAGTTATGCAAGTGGTGTCTCTGTTTTCTGCCATATGCTTGCTAAATTAGCAGTTAGAGACTCAGTATAAAACAAATGAATGGTATTAATCTTGCCTAGCTTTTAATAAAACAAGTTTGATTGTCTTGGATTTTATTTGTAAGGTGGGATGAATAACCTAGAGCTGATGCTGAAGTCTTTCTAGTGCCCATGTAGGCACTGGTGGCACTGTAATCATTGATTGCAGCGCTCCTCTCCATCTCCCACAGGTGTTCTTCTCTGTGCTTGTTGGAGCTTTCTCCCTGGGCCAGGCAGCTCCTAACCTGGAGAGTATGGCCAATGCACGTGGGGCTGCCTATGAAGTATATAAGATTATCAATAAGGTAAACACCTAACTAGATAGGATAGAAGCCTTTCAACCATCTTAGCTTCCACTCCTCTTTTTTTTTTTTTCCCTTGAGAAATGTAACAAAAGTGGCCTAAAGCCCCAACTCTATAGATATTTACTACAGAAACCTATAATATTTTTATTGATCTAAAAAAAAACCAGCGTCTTTGTTACAGTGAGAACTGGAAAACCTGGCATGTGTGTCTGAGATATATGATTGAGGTTTTTTCTCTAATATTAGACTTCCAGCTCCAGAAGGAAAGTAGCATGGCACTATACTAATTTTTAAAAATGCATGTATGCACAATTCAGCTGAGATGGGGTTTACTGCAGAGGGGAATTGGTGAAGAAGGGGTTAATATCACTATTGAAAGTTATAAGGATAATAATCTGTAATGCTGATGTTGCTATAAAAGAAAGCTTTTCCATATCATTATCTTGATTTTGCAGTGGTATGCAGCAATTGCATATCTGTGTATATAAAATATTTTAAAGTAGGACTCAAAAGTTCATGGAGAAATGGCTACATCATTCTTTTTGATATGAGTATAAAACCCTCCTATACAGATCACTGAGGCCCATGTTTTGGTTGCAAGACAGTGCAGTTAAATTCTGCAATTATAGATTTCCTGCTATGGATTTTGTTGCTTTTGAAAATGTACTATATTTGGCAGGTAGTATTCACAATTTTATGTTCCCCATATTCAGCATTCTTCAGGTAAAATGCTGCAGCTCTGCAACTATGTACTGCAATATAATCAAGCATTTGAGAAAGTAAAGAACAATGCATGTAGCAGAAATAACAGTTCCAAAAGTGAAATAACCACCAATTTATTTTACAAACCTCTTTCCAGAAGCGGCTCATAGATAGCAGTTCTAAGGAAGGTTACAAGCCAGACAAGATCATAGGAGAAATTGAATTCAGAAACATTCATTTCAGTTACCCTTCCAGACCTGATGTTAAAGTAAGTGTTCTGTTTAGACTACTGAACTTACTCAGCCTGTGGCCATGTTGTTTGTCTAATTTTGTTCTTGAATGCCAAATGCATTCCTGTTTTGGGGGATGGGGCATAACTTTCCCCCCACTGATGCACAAAGAAAAGCTCTAGATCTATTGTCATTGTGTATGTCATTCTCTTCTGCAGGACAAATCTAATATGTGTTGCACCTAGTCTGAATTTCTATGAAAAAGAGTTTTGATAAATCAAACAAGATTTTTCAAAATCTTTCATTAAGGCTTCCAGACTTTGAGCAGTTAAAACAGAATTTTTTTTTTTCCAGTTCCTTGACTCCTTGGAGTTACGACATCCCATGTGAAAAATAATCGGAGATAGACTTTCAATGCATTGATTGCATATTGTTGTGAACATATCCTAAATGTACATTTGGAAGTCAAACATTGTTCGGGCATATGTTAAAATTGCTGTTCAAGAAACTAGCCTGCTCTTTGCTTGTTCAGTTTGCATTAATGACCTGTGTACATCATGTCATGGTGATTACTTTTGTGGTGACACAGTTGGTTTGACCTCTCTGCCATATTTGTTTACAATCTTTTAAACACCTTGATGAAGGTGAAAAGAAATTTGCTGCTGTTGTTTCTTCCTTGGTGAAGAACAAGGTGGAATAGATATTTTAAATGTCAACAATTAAAACCTTGATATGCTGATTTAGTGCTGAGCATGGGAATGTTTATACTTCTCTGGCTGTTTCTTCCGGTGGCTTTTCCCAACTCAGTCTTCTAAGGTCTGTCCCATTGTGCATCAAATCCCCTTCCCGGACAGTGGGATATCTGGAGGGCAGATTCAGAGCTGGGCTTTCTCCTTAACTGAATTTTGTACAATGCATGCTTTATCCCTCTCGGCTCAGAAATATGAAGGGACAGAGCAGAGTCTTCGTTCTTCTTTCTAAAAATCCTGTTCAGACTGCTGCACTATGTTGTGGGCCAGCACACCAAATGGGAGGGAAATAAGAAATATTTCTCATCCTTCCCAAATCTGAGTCAGCATCTCTCCCTACTAAGAGCATCAATGTTATTTAGTAGGGCCAAAAGGAATCAGCAAAGCTGTGCAGAAGTTACCCACAATCTCTCAAGCAGTTGATACAACACAGTATAATCTTACCTGTCCAGATTAAACTAAATCAGAGATCTAAGGAGTACAGTTACTATTAGTTTTAATCTTGGCAATGCATTGCTTGATGAAAGAGAGTTAGAATTAGCCTAATGTGTGGGAGTAATTATTTGCATCTGGAGATATTCTGGTACCTAGAATAAAGTTAATTCTTGATAATGCAGGCACCAAGATATCAGCTTCCTGGGAATATAAAACTGGGTGGATGTAATACAGGGAGAGGAGAGGAATATTGCAACTATTTTAATCTCTCATTGCAAAAACATGTGTAGGCAAACTTATAAATCAGCCTAGTATAAACAAGAGAGTTCCCATAGCAGCCAAATATTTTGGCAACTACACAGCATTACTTGTAATGACATGGCCATCTTTTGAGGTAAAATGTTCTCTAAATGTGAAAATAGCAAAAATGATATCTTTAGCTGCAGCTACTCCCCAGGTTTTTGAGGCTGTTAACAATAAGGAATGGGATTTATTAAGGGCTTCCCAACAATTACTTTGTCAAAACAGCCATTTATATTTTAAAAATAGAAGAAAGCAGGCTTGGTTTTCACTGATATCTTTTAGTACCTGAAAATTATTTTCTCTAAGATTCATAATCACTATGCTCTGGAAAAATGGAGGATAGCAGGATAATTTAAGACCCAAGACTGCTACCAGATCACACAAATCAGAGACAATTAGCTATGAAGTTCAGAGTAGTGTGGCTGTGTCTATACTAGTTTGAGTGTGCTGGGGAATTTTCCCAGGCCATGGAATGCAATGGTCTATGCAAGGGAACTCTTAAAATGTTTCCTGGCATGAACTTGGCCTGTTCCAGTTATCAATCTTCTCAAAAAATTCCCAGGCTTGTTTTGGTAGCCAGAAGGATCTAGGGGCCATTCCCAAAAGGCAGGTTGCATGCAGCCATCCTGTTTCAAAGGCTAGTACATTTCACAAGCATAGGTGAAAGGTGTTTTCCTATCAGCACTCCAGGATATTCCCAGGTACAATTATTATATTATTGTTGCAAATAATACAATACAATTATACAATTGTATTATTAATGTTGTCATACTTTCAAACTGCAGCCCTCACTACTGCCTTGATAGCAACAGCTTCACTTACCTTGACAGACTGTTCTCTACTCAAACTTGTTAAATTAAGATATATTTTTTTTATTTATTTATTCACAGATCCTCAAAGGTCTAAACTTGAAAGTCCAGACTGGCAAGACCATTGCTTTAGTTGGTGCCAGTGGCTGTGGAAAAAGCACTACTGTTCAGTTGCTGCAGAGATTCTATGATCCTGACCAGGGAGAAGTGAGTGTTTGCAAAGGAATTATAAAAAGTCAGAGCTATTAGGACATGCATAAGTTTCCCATATTGACCTGAACCTTCTTGTCCATTTTGACTGAATTTCACCATATATCTGTATAGTTCATATTTCCACATGGCTTGACTTCATTATTCTGCTCCTTCTTGCAGTACTACATCTCAAATAGCCAATGCTACAAGTCTTGGAGTAGACTTACAAGATCTGAATTTAAAATAATTATCAACTGTTCATTTTTAAAATTTCCTAAGCATTTTTAGGCAAAGCATAATCCAACAAAGTCCTGCTTACATTCATTTTCATTGATTGTAAGCTAAAACCTGGCCAGAGTTTTCCTATTTTAAATGGTTGATTTCTTGGCTTGTTTTTCACTATCTGCTAACCCACAGCAGAAGTTTCCATCATTATGCATGGTATGTGTTCTACCACTAAACACTAAATCCACTTGGTAAATGTTGCCATACTTGCCACATGAAATTTCCAAAGGAAAAAATAAGAAAAATGAAACAATGTATTTTTAAGGAAATTTGATTTTTATTCTTGATAGTTGAAGGATCTTATTTAATAGTTGTTGCTGCTAGTTGAAAGTAGGTAAGCATTTCAAATACAAAAAATTGAACTGTCACTATATAAGGTATCAAGGCAGCTGTTTTCATCATAGTTCTTTCTTAAACTTGGTTTTCCTGTGGCTGTTCATTCCTGCCCCCATGCCTCATTTTGCTGTGCCAATGCCAGTGTTCAAAGGACCACACTGCAAATTACCTAGATAAAAATAATTTTCCCTTTCCTTTTAGTCAACTTGAACTCTCTTTGATCTGATGTTAAGCACAGCCACAGAGATGATTTTGTAGCTGCAAATGTGAGGATATCAAACTGGCACAGGGGCATGAGAATCATGTAAAAATTGTGCAAGGGAGATGTAAAATTCTTAAGCCAACTCAGACACGATGGTTATTGGGGGATAACAAATGGGGGGGAAAAAAGGCCCCTAATGTCTTCTCTGTTTATGCTGCTCATCATCATTTTCCATCTTGTGCAAGGAATAGGAAAACTGCAGTTGTAGCTTCTCCCCCAACATAGTTTTCTATTAAAGACAATATTTTTTTTTTCCTGGACCTTCTGGCTGATACTTCATTCAAGTAAGAGTAATTAATTGCTTTATTATGAACAGAGTGCATTTCCTTGATTTCTTTGACACACTCTTTTCCTCTCAGATTACCTTAGATGGTCGGGATATTCGGACCCTTAATACAAAGTGGCTACGAGAAAATATTGGCATTGTGAGCCAAGAGCCTGTTTTGTTTGCAACCACAATAGCTGAGAACATTCGCTATGGCAGAAAAGACATTTCTGATGCTGAAATTGAGCAAGCAGCCAAGGAAGCCAATGCTTTTGACTTTATATCTAGACTGCCTGATGTAAGTTCATGAACTTACTTTGAGTGTAAGAATAAAAGGTCCATTTAGGCTGATGTCCTGTTTCTGAGAGGCAGAGCATGGGAATTGAAGTTGTAGTATAACTTCTTAAAATATACTTTTTGTCTCCACTAGCTTTCAGTTTAGAGAGTTTTTCAACTAGATATTGTGCCTTTGGTTGCTCTCAAAGGACCTGTGCTGGAGTATGGGAAAAAATGTCAATGCCTTAAGTCAGGAGAAAGGAAGCTTCACAGCTGTATTACCATCCCTACCCATCTCATGAGGCATAGAAGAGTTGGCTTTTAAAAAGAAGAACCAGAAATCCCAAGCTCTTTGTCAGGAGCTGTCTGTACATTCACAGGAAATGGGGGGAGTGGGTGGAGGTAAATAAGTATTCCCTGAAGGAAATAATTATGCCCTTTTAGCAGGGCATGTTACAAAGCTCTTTCTCTGCCTGAGATTCACAACTCTGAGCCCTCTCTTAGCAGTAGGTGCCTAGCTCCCTTCAAGATGGGGCTAAGAATTCAAGATGGGTCAAGCATTCTAAACACATCCTCATAAATGGATAATATGTCCTTGCCTTTACTCCTGAAGTAAAAAAATGTGGGAAAATTGCCCACCTGGGATTTGATTTCAAATCCTTTTACTAGTTTAGAGAGCTTGGCCCCATCTCTCAAGCATGTGCCATTTCAAGCATGTCAATCTGTTCCAGGAATCCTTCTTCTCAGGAAGAGTGGTTTGTTCATATTTACTCCTTAATAGCTATATAATAAAAAATTACAGTGGACTTTGAGACCTGTGACTTTGCAGTACGTGATATGGTCAGTAGGAACCAAACCATGGCTCCAAGGGGGAGTGTCTCAGATTCAAAGGAGGCACACTATTGGTGCATCCCTATAATTCCAAAGCTTTTGGAAAGGTAGGCAGTCCTCAGAAAATATAGCTATCCTATTTACAGGCTTGCCTTGAGAAACCCCAGGGTTTGGAGCACTGAGTGAGCAATAAAGATCTTTAAAGAACCATAAATTCAAAGTTAGGCAGACACAATATGTGGGGGTAGGAGGGTTTGGCTAAGGACCAGTTGGATGGACGTTCTTCCATGTTTGTTCTGCCTGTGCTCAAGTCAGCTGGAAGAAGCTACATCTTCTAGCAGATGAGTACTTGGGGTTGCACTGAGAAGTGAGGATTTGAGATGTCTCACTCACAGAACTCTCACATAATTTCTCTTCTGTTCTCTCCTTTATCAGAAATTTAACACCATGGTGGGTGAAAGAGGGGCTCAGCTGAGTGGAGGACAGAAGCAACGAATAGCTATTGCCCGTGCCCTTGCAAGAAATCCCAAGATTCTTCTTCTGGATGAAGCTACATCTGCATTAGATACTCAGAGTGAATCCATAGTACAAGCAGCTCTTGATAAGGTAGGACTCACTGAAGCTGGCAGCTGCCATGAAAAAGTGCAACAAGCACTTAAGAAAACATAATGTACAACTTTCAGCACAGACTTCCATCAGAATCAAGAGCAAGACTTCCATCAGAATCAAGAGCATTGGAAAATAACATTTGGATGGATGCTCAATTTCAGTGTTTGTTTTAACAGAGTTTGAACCATCAAAAATTTATTGGAAAGTCAGGTTTAATTTTTTAGGGGTTTTGGCTTTGGATTATTAATAATTATGAAGACAGTCATGTGGAAATGTAACTCAGGTCTCCTGCACTCTTTCCCAAATCATAATTTTTCATTTTCTGGTAAAACATTGAGGGCATCTCATCAAGGCAAGGTAGGAGGACAGAATGGCCTTTTTCAGGTGGATTAATAGCAAAGTATTGATACTGATATCCCTAGTATTTGTTCTTTATTGAATAATTGCTTCATAATTTTCAGAAAGATCTTGAAATTTAGCTATTTTCATTATTTTCCTGCTTTTACCAGTCCCACAGTGCTAGGGTGGGTGCTGCTGCAGAGCAGAGCTGTCAGATCTTGTACCTGATCAGCACAGATCTTGTCTCTGATCAGCACAAAATACCTTTTTCACAGCCCACCTTCAGCAGCAGTTTCCATCAACATACAGTAGAACCCATAGGCTTTGATTGAAAAAGAACTTCATGGTTTGGCTTGAATGTTTTTTCTTTTGTCTAATATTTATTTTAATGTATTTTTAAAATGAGGTGAAAAATCCTGTCTTTAATTTCAGTAGTTATGCAGAGAAATACGAATTACCATTACAGCTCAAGGGAGATACAGAATTTGTCATTTTCACTTGCTAGTGAGTTTAAATCTGAGGAAAAGTGCAGATCTTTGTTATAGTAATGTAATTCTGGTGATATTAGTATTGAGGTAGCATGTAGATGCAAAAATAATATTCATATAATCTTTCTTTTATGTGTTTTGGTTTTGGGTTGTTTTTTTTTTTATTTTGTAATCAAGTACTTAGCTTTTCCAGGAGCTTATTGTTTCATTTAGTGTATAACAGAGGGAGGTCAATCAATTAAGTGGACTCTTTCTCATCCTTCTTGTTGTTCTCAGAACACATGAAAATGAGCCCTGAATCATAACTTACTCATATTTTCACAGCATTTTGATGTCCATCAGTGTAGTCGCCTAATGAAATTTCCAGATTTCAACATCCCTGAGTGGAAAAAGTGGTGCTACTATTGTTCATTATTTTTACAGCTGAGGAGCAGAGATGCTAACCTCATGAACGCTCACTGTTTCTGGGCATGCAGTTCCTTGTAGCCAGCTGTTTTTAGATCACTTTCCACCCTATAAAGCATTTTGCTAATTCTGATCACAGCTCCCAGCTGCAGTGGTGAGGGCTTTGTGTGTTAGGCCAGAGGCATAAAAACCACCCTGTGGCAGACTTGCTGTGAGTGACTTGCCTCGGGTCCATGAGAATGACAGGTGTAAGAAGAAGAATTCTAATTTCCATGGAAGCAGTCCTCTACTGCAGACGGCCTCACCTTCCTCATGCCCCTGCTCCTGTGCCCATATGATGTACAACTTCTGTAGCAAGAAACTTCCAGCAGGTTTCAGGTTCACAGAACATACTTGTTGCATGAGGTTCCCTTGGATCTCTCCTCCTGCCAAGCTGGCATCTGCTGCAGGCATCAGGGTGGAGGGAAGCCAGCCTCTCCAGCAGTCACAAGGAACACAAATGTGTTCATTTGCTGCACGGGGGCTGTGTGTGCCTCTGGTCTGTGTGAGAGAGCTGGAGAGGGTGGAACATGTAACCTGCTGACTGAGACTTCAGCAGCTTTTTCTGCAAATTTATAATCCAGTAGGATTATTGTCAAATAAATTTGTTTCTGAAGGGAGTGGCTCAAACCCATTTTTTATGCAAATTTGCTCCTCTGTGCTTTCCTGCTAAGTCTTGTCAGCAATTATGCTGATGTACTTCCAAAAATTTGCAAGGACAGTATATGAAGAAAATATCTGCTCTTTATATATTTGCTGTCCTAGCTTTGTTTTCAGAAAGATCTCACTATTCTCATGACATTTCCCCATCATGCTTAGGTGCACATGGAAACATGTTGTGAGCAACTTTAGCTCAAACAGTTCAGATGTTATAGAAGTCAAATAATAAATAAGCATTAATTATGGTCTTTAATACTTGTTGCCTGTCTAAAAGATTAATGTGGCTTTCTCTACCTAAATTAGTCAAATGAAACTGTCCTTGGACTGCTAAGCAAGGACACTAAACCAGGAAAAAATAATAATATTTGATTTTAAAAGAAAGAAAAATATTTCTAAGGTTTTGGTTTATTATATATTACAGGTGGCTAAGATAACTTATGTACTATTTTCTTGCACATCTTAACTGTAACTGGGTTTTTCGTGTTTCTGTAAGGCTCGGGCAGGACGTACCACCATTGTGATTGCTCACAGACTGTCTACCATCAGGACTGCTGACACTATTGCTGGATTTGAGAAAGGTGTCGTGGTTGAGCAAGGGACACACAGTGAACTGATGCTGCAGAAAGGAGTCTACTATTCCCTTGTAATGCAGCAGGTAAGGGCAAATTTATTTGCTTTCTTTCTCCATTTCACAAAGTTGTCAAATGGTTGGTGGAGCTATTTTCTCTCTAGTTCCTGCTTGGTATCCAGCTGGCAGCTGCTCAGTTATTCTAGTCTGGGCACAGAGACAGGCTTGGAATTCTTGGGGGTTTTATCCATAAGCTGTTCATATTTATGCAATCCAATTTGACAAAAAACATAAGTGAGTTTAAGGCACAGACTGCATTGTTATGGTGTAGCCATAGAGGTGTTAGATTCCAGGTGGATAAAGGAAAAGAGGGGGACAAAATCATAATCAAATAGTCTACTGCTCTGCAATTGCAGACTGAAATATCTGTGCCCTATAGACAACTACAGTTACACAATTGAAACTGCAGTATTCAGGAGGAAAAAAGTCTTTCTAGTCAAAATGCCTTGTAAATGTATATCCTGAATTCTCACTAGGGTTGTACCAGTGATGTTCAAGATAATGCCTCATCAGAAGATAGTGAAGGCACAGAATCTGAAGAATATGAGGAAAACATAAATCCTGTGGAAAAGCTGACTCTTCAAAATAATTTTGAAACCCCTGTGCTACCAGGCAGCATAAGAAGAAGATCCATCAGATATAAGAGCAAGAGGAGTTCATCTAAAAATCCCTTTGGGAAAAAGAAACAAAAGGAGGTGGAGGTTGGTATTAGAACTGCAGTTTAGAATTTTGATTATAAGATGTAAGCATAAACAAAAACCACATAATTTGGAGTATTTTTAGATGGCTGTCTTTACTCAGATGCTATTGTAGTCAGTACTCACCAGACTGAGTGTCTGAGGACAATTTGTCTTAACAAAGATCTTCATTTTAACACTACTGATTTAATGTAGAACTGGAATAAAAATTGCTATTCATTTGTCACATTACTTTATAAAATTTAGGAGAATTATTTCAGTGGTAGAGATATTCTAATTTAAGCTAGTTATGAGATTTCATTTGCAAGTTACTTTACTTCCTGGTACTTAATGTTGTAAATGTTGCTGGATAATATAATCCCTGGAGTGTGTGTACCCAAATTGAAGGCACTTTGGGGTATCATACTACATTTATATCAAGCAAAAACAATTAATCAAACCCCTGATATTTTGAAGAGCATTTTCATTAAAAGAGCCATTTGGTCTTTATGTTTTAGTATATGCTTCAGCCTTGCAGGGCCTTTACAGGTAAAACAACTTAGTTGACATATTTCATACATCAATAAAAGTCACATGGGAAGTTTGGAGTTAAGAAAAATTATATTGTTTCATCAAAGTTGAATAAAACTTGCTCATAGCATCAAAAAGAGCAGATTTCTAGTGCATTCTGGAACAGACTTGGGATGAGCAGCTCAGCAGAAACTTGATTTTGTTTTCTATTTGGAGTACTTTTTCATGAAACATATTGGAAGAGTGGTTTGGTATATTAAAGTTGCTTGAGTTTTTGTTTAGTTTTTGGGGGGTTTTGCCTAATTTCAAGATCTTTGTAGTGAAGAACTAAAATATAAATTCCAAAGTAAAACCATTAAGTCTTCTAAGTCTGTGGAAGTTAGGATCTCATCTATAATAAATATTTTAAATAATTATGAAATCTGTAGTATGATCAGTAGTTTTTCCTCCTCTCTAAAATACGTCTTCCAGCTAATGAATATTTCAAATAGCATGAACAAGCTGGGCCCATTCCCATTATCGTGTAAAATGTCATATAATTTCAAAAGATACTTTTTGGCTGTATATTAATACTGCTTAAGACCTTAGAGGAAGTAGTGGGTGTTCATGCTCAAAAATACAATATCCATCACATTCAGGAAAAATGAAGTTGAACATTCAGTAGTTGTAATTATTTCAGAAAAAATCAGCCCACCATTCAGCATCTAAAACACAGGATAAAATAACGAGGAAGCAAGAGCAACTGGTTTATAATCCTGACTAATATTTTTGATGCTCATTTCTGATGCTTTCATTATTTACTTTTCCAGAAATATCCCTTTGGAGGCACAGGCACTTAAATAAAGTGTAAAGCAAGACAGAACATTTTTTGTGCCTTGGAAGCACAAACAGGCTAACTGACTCTAACATATGCCTCGTTCCTGGCTTTGGTAATGATTCATTGCATATAGTTTGCCAAAGAGAAAAATGACCTCTCTACCCAATTGTTCTATTGCCAGCCCACTGGCATTTAGGTCGGGGGGATCTCTTCTATCCTCTGAACTGTGAGACTTTCAGTTCTTTATAGTGATTGAAATGTTAGTTGCCATTCATGGTGACCAGTCCTATCTGACTTTCAGTGAACTGTCCTGACCCGTCTCCTCATGACTTAGCCTTTTGTTAAGTTTTTGCCTGCAAATTTTTACAGTGCAGTTGATGTTCTAGGACATGAAACAGCAAAGCAGCAAATGTCCAGAATGTTTGCTTGATCTGACTGCACAGAGAGGGCTTTCAGCATTTTACCAAGACACTTCACTGCTCAAGGCCTAATGAACATCCACTGTCTGGAGAATTTTATGTTCTTCAACTTTCCAAGGAAAACTTACTTACAACTTTTTCCTGAAGGAAGAAAATCTCCCTGCTGTGCCTTACTTAAAAATCCTGGCTCTGAACAAACCTGAGTGGTTCTATGTACTGCTGGGAGTGATTGCTGCTGCTGTCATAGGTGCAGTCCATCCTGCATTTGCTGTTATATTTGGAAAAATCATTGGGGTATGTTTTTTGGTTTTTTTTTTCTTTTTTTTTTTTTTTGGGATGTTGTTTTTGTTTATGGGTTTTCTTTCTTTGGGGGTTTTTGGTGGGGGGGAGTTTGGTTTTTTGTTTTGTTTGGGTGGGGTTTTTTTTTGCAACTGGAAGTTGCAGTCCTGAGCTTTCTTCATGCTTAACCACTCATTTCTTTGCATGTAAGTCTCTGAGTGGGATTAACTCATATAAATACATCCATTGAAAAATGTTGAAGAGACTCTCTAGAAGCAGAGGATGATGGAACTGCATCTGACTAGTGGACAAAAGGAGGGACATTGATGGATCTGGGAGAACAAATTACTGCTATGTAGGTTAAACAGAAAGTTGAACTATCTGCTGAGTCCTCAACAGAAAGGTGACTGCAAACTGATTTTAGGATCCAGGATACTTGCTAAAAGAAATTAAAGTAGACAAGCTTCTTGAGGTGAAGGCTGGCTTATATAATAGATGCTTGTCTATGTACTCATTTTTGTGGTTTTTTTTCTTTTCATAGGCTTTTCAAGAAAGAGATCCAGAAAAAAGGAGTAAAAACACTGTGTTGCTTTCTTTAATATTTCTTTTACTTGGAGTGATTATCTTAGCAGCGTACATAATCCAAGTAAGTGTCACTACACTGAAACCTTAACAGCTCTGAACTCTCCAGCAGGCTGCAGGTATAGCTCATATCAACACAATATGAGAAGTAAAAAACCAGTCAGAGCTGACAAAAATATGCACAAGTGCCAGGGTTTTCCTGATATACGTAGGTTTAATGTTAATGCTTAGTTAAAGATATATTTCTATATTTGCTCTTGGTTTAAAGAATCCGCTGAAGGAAATGTTAATTCAACATGATTGAAATCAAAGTTGAGGGTCCAGCCTTAAAAGTCAAATTTAATAGTGATATTTCTCACTGACTAGTCTATAGGCTCTTGCCAAAGTAAGTATAAGGCAGACTCACTCTTTCCATTGCAGACAGTGCTTTTCATACCATCAAGTACATTCCATAATTTCCTGTGCTCTTACAGTTTGCAGAAAGCACTGCGTGCTCACTGATGTCCACATCATACCAATCCATTGGTATGACTGCTGTGAGTGAATGCTTCTGATCACAGTCAGGGTAGGGAGGCCACTCACTAGACAAGTTGATTTATTTTGTAATTCTGCTATCTGTATGCTCAAGATTGACCAGAAAAGTTTAATCTCCCTTTGCTTGGGTGCTTGGGTGATATAAATATATTATATATAGATGCCTTCTTTGTTATGTTGTTTCCTTTCTGTGAGAAAATCAAGTTTCAGGTTCAGGAATGTGAATGATGCTTTTCCCAGGACATATATATTCACTGGGGGCTGTAGGTGCAATAGCTTTTGTTGAGCTTCTTGGTGTGATTGCTTTTATTGTGCAGATTTATAAACAGAGTTACAGCATCAGATGAGAAAATGTGACTGGTTTTCCTCCTCCAGGGATTCATGTTTGGGAAGTCTGGGGAGACCCTAACAATGAGACTGCGCTCTTTGTCCTTCAGAGCATTACTTCAGCAGGTATGAATTAGGTAGTTAGGATACCAAGGGAGAGATGGATGTGGACAAGAACTTGTGTGTTTGTAGAAACCTTTGAAAGGGACCAGAGGACAGTAAAGTGGTTATTGGTAGTAGAAAGAACACTACCATAGCCTTTGCAAATAAAAATCTTAGTTTCCTTTCTGTATTTACAAATCCTTGTGGGTCCCTTCTGATTCAGGATATTCTATGATTCTGTAGCTGATGGGATAAGTAATTTGCAAGAGAATAATTAACCTCTGAATGGGGGCTATTATAAAAGTTTCTAAATGTTTTCAGGAAAACATCACAGCCAAGAACACTTTGATTACAAACAATTAGATGTCCACAAAAGAACAATATTTTTTAAGCTTTTTCTTTTAGTTTACTTAGAAATGCTGACTACACAGAGACAATATTCAGTCAGACATCCTGTTTTGTACTCCCATGTAATTTTTTGAAAGAAAAATCAGTATATTTTCTTGCAGGAGATTGGATGGTATGATGACCAGAAAAATGCTGTTGGTGTTCTGCTAACTCGTCTTGCTACAGATGCTTCCCAAGTTAAAGGCGTATGTTGATTCTTTTATGTATATTTTTCAAATATTTTTCCTTAAAAATAGTAATTGCAATTGGCAAGGAATTGCAAGGTTATTTCAGAAAACAAAGTAGGAATTCTACCCCATAGACTGGTAGATATCTTTACATAGCATGCTACAGACACATTGGAAATGGTTTCTCAGCTGATAATTTACAACTATAAAAAATCCAGCAGATATTCATGCACCTTTCAAGTACCCTGCAAGTCTTTAAGCTAAATATGTAACTGTGGACCATGCAAAGTGAAATCTGCATATATGCTTGGACCACAGTCACTGAACCCTAGGTTTTTACACTGTGTTATGGGTGTCACCTGAATGCCACAAAGAGGTTGCATTTGCAACCCTTACTGACCTCAGTGAAGAGAATTGCCACGAAACGTGCTTCACAAACAGTAAGAAATAGACCACCACAATTAAAAAGTGCCACAGAGGACAATGGCCAAGGAAGAGAACTACTCAAGAAGCTGGTATAAGAGAAGTGGTCACTGGACACTGGTGAGAGAATATGGCAAATTCTGCACAATTCCTTCAGCTTCTCGCCTCATCCGCACAGCCTGACAATCTGTCAAACATTTCTGTTTCTTTCTGTCTCGTTGCAGGGAAAAGCAAATTACTGCAGGACGTGTGAGGAAAGGTTTACTAATGTGTTTTTTCCCCTTCATATTTGTACATCACTAATTCTTTAATCCCTACATTTTTCCATCTCCAAAGGTTTTGTTTCTCTCCAGCCCTTCTTCATTGCAGGCTTCAGGGATGAAATAGTCTTTGACAGAATTTAGTCATCTTAATATTTTAAAGTTTGCTTGCTTCAGTGGCAATGAAGTCTATCACACTGTCAGGGCAGTAAAAAGGAAGGGTGCACACAGTTGACTAACTACAAAAAACAGCTAAGTCATGAATGGATGTCCAGAGTTATTGTGATGTCTGGAGTACCAGACACCAGTAAGTCAGTACAAGGCCTCATGCTGCACAGGTTGAAGTTTCCAAATCCATCTTTATGTGCAAACCCTAGAACATATGGCAACAATTCACCTTGGCATTGGTTTAATTGTTAATATTTTAAATTTATTGAACAAGAAAAGTCTCTTCAGGGCAGGAAACCCTTTGGCAAAAGAAAGAACATTTGCTTTCCACCCAAGAGTTTTTGTTTTTACCATCATGCTAAGATCTGGAAAAATGAACTATTTCCACAGGATTATTTGTAGAAGTTCATTCTGCAGATCAGACCCCACCCTGATTCTGGATGCTAATCAACTCTCATTTTAAAATGTTTTTGGTGAAAAGATTATACAGGCTGGGAGGAGGTGAAAATTCTTCAGAGTTAGTCTTTCCTACTCATTATCCCACTGAGATAAAACATTTCTGCAGGGTGGCCAAATGCAGAGTTCTTTTCTCTAAGAAGACAATCTCAAGTGCAGCAATGGAAGAAGCTAAGGATTAATATTTTTCACCATTGTTAGTGTGGAGGGTCTCAATGGTTGGCTGCTGTTAGAACTTGCCACCTTGCCCTACTGTCACAGTGGTCACAATTTACCTTGGGTAGTGTATGAAGTTCTAGATGCATTTCACTAAACAACTGTCATGTCCAACTCTCTAGACTACATTAATACCTCTTGAAGGCCTGAATGCTGGCAGGTGTGAGGAATCTCTAGGAATGGTTACAGAAGTTGGTGCATAATGCCCATACATATGATTGCACATGGTTTCATTTTCCAGCCAAACCTTTGGCCTTGAATACAGCAATTTGAAGTGGTAATTTAAGCAACAAAAATTAAAAATTAAAAATAATTGCATATATTTTGGGGTTTTCTGGGATTTTCTTAGGCAACTGGAAGCCGACTTGCGCTGATGACTATGACTGTCTTTACCCTTGTGACTGCCATCATCATTGCATTTGTATATGGCTGGCAGCTAACTTTGCTTATCCTGGCCTGCATTCCTTTTATTGTTGGTGCAAATGCTGTGAATGCCAGCTCTATGTCTGGTCATGCTGCAGAAGATCAAAAAGCTTTGGAAGAGGCTGGAAGAGTAAGTTCTTCAGTTTTAACTACAGAGTTCTGTGTGAAATCACTTTTAAGTACAACACTGTATTTATATTGTAGCTGACTCAATTGTCCAAGATTAATGAAGGGTGCTGAGAGGAATATTTATATATCTTCAAGAAAAGCAAAACACTGATAACACAAACCATCTGCAAATTAGAATATAAAAATGCATTTGAAAGCCTCCATAGTGGATTTCTGGGTAGTAGCAGCTGCAGCAGAAGCAGCCCCAGTGCTGGTGCCTAGGGTGAGCAACCTGGCTCTGCACTCCTTTGATGCCTTTCTCTTCTGTTATAAAGGCAGGCCATTAATGTGCTCAAGAGTTTCAGGGTGCTTACTGCCTTCACTCACCTGATAGTGCTCTTCCAGGAGACAGCAGTCCATGCAAAAGAGTAAACTGTGTCCAGATTACTTGTGCTTGTCCCTATTTTATTAAATTTGATTTAATTCATGAGGGCCACAACCCATGAGTTAGGGAAGACACTGCTGATGAATAATTTCATTGCTTAGGACTTTTCTTCACTTCATCCCTATTCTTAAATAAGCACATTCTGATCTAAAATAATAAATGCTAGAGAAGAAATCAAGTGTTCAGAAGATATCTTGCAGATTGCAGTTGTAAGAGATTACCTCTAATTTGCTTTATCTCTTTGTTTAGATTTCAACAGAAGCCGTTGAAAACATAAGAACTGTAGCTTCACTGACCAAGGAAGAAGAATTTTATGAAAGATATGCTGCTTGTTTGAATCATACATATAGGTGGGGTTTTTTTCTTTACATTGCACCTTAGTATTTAAGATTTACTGTGAATACATTTCTTGAAACCTAGCCAATATGCTAAAGACTGGGAAGAATATCAATAGCTGTTCATATAGCTTTTGAATTTGTATAGTCTCTATATTTTAATATACATTATTAAGTGTAGAGTGAAAAAAACTTTGGCAGGATTTGTCTTTTATTATGCAAACACTTTAGAAACTGCATTCTTTGCATATGTGTTACAGAATATTGTATTTACCTACAATATAGGATATATGTTCACTCCATGTCAGTGTATTGCAGTGATGCTACTTAACTGCCAGTTCCACCACACCCTTTATAACATAAAACAGTTTTATTTCCCCCATATGACTTTGAAACCTTAAAAAGAGCTTCATACATTTCCCTTGTTTGATCCACTGCATCCCACTGACTTTTCTCCACTGAAATACATTTGAATCACTACAGTTGCCAGATGTTTCTAGCTCCATTTTATTTAAATAAAGTATCCCAAAATCTAAATTGCTTCTAATGTAAAGGACGGAATTGAAAGTTATGTATTGCACAATTTATCCTCAGCAAAAATAGTGTTAAAATTCAATGTCTGGTGAACTGCTAAGAGCCTAGATTTGGGCAGAATGCTTGCTTGGACTGTCACAGGTCTGATTTACAGCTCAAACTAGAAAGGAGATTTTCTCTTCCTCAGAGAGCATCCTAAACAATGAGGACAGAGTTCACCAGATTCTTATTTGGTGTGTGTTTTAATTAGCTACACAAAATGAAACCTTTCCAGAGGGACAGATTGAGCAATAGTGGTATAGTGTGAATTCTAGTAGGGCTACCCAGCAATGAGTCCACTCTCTGCTCAGTTGGGATGAGCTGGTGGAAGCCTGCAGGCAGCTCTCAGACCAGGCTTGAGCCTGCTTGTTTTCTTAATAAAATTGGTCATATGGGGTAATGATTAACTTATTTAATTTTAACTAACTACTCTAGTGACCTGTCCTGCTATAAAAGCAATGGAAGGGGATTGAATTTAACATAACTGGGGATTAAGGTTTTCATGGCTTTCTGTCCTAAGGGTTTTCTATGTCATGAAGCATGGGGCTTGTACGGTCTGGCACGTATAATTTGTGAGCATGTGTGTTGTGGGCTGATTTGTTGTGGTTTTGGGGATGAGCTGGATTGCTTGAAAATTCTATTCCAGAAGTCTGGCTATCCCCTAACCAGTGTCTGTTGTTTCTCTTTTACAAGTAATTTATGGAAAGTCTCTTCTTTTATCAGAAAATCTCTGAGAAAAGCCCCTTTCTATGGATTTACCTATGGAATAGCTCAATGTTCAGAGTACTTTATTAATGCAGCAGTCTTCAGATTTGGAGCATGGCTCATTGTTAATTGTCTGAGCAACTTTGAAAATGTATTTATGTGAGTATAACTTATAAAGTATAAAAAAGATCAAAATTAGTACACAGTGTAGTGATTTCAATGCATACAAATTCCGTATCAAATTACGGAGGTAATGGTCTTGGGAATCCAGGAATTCAGTCTGCTTGGAAGTTTTCTTTAGGCATAAGGGCTTTTTTAGGGGAAGGTTCATCTTGGGTGGTGAAACAGCAAAAGTGAGCAGCATGCTCAGTACATCTACTCTGGAGAAGCCTTTGCCCTTTGATGTCCCTTCCAGGCAGAAGATGTTAAATGGAGAAGTGATGTGATAATGTTCAGCTGTAAACTAGCTATGGGAGCAAGCTGACCTTCCTAGTACTGGATGACATCTTGAGTGTGAGGGGCTCCAGAAACATCATAACCTAAAGATGATAAAAAGCTTTATTCTGAAGGTATATTTCACAAAAGAATGCATTGCATTGCATACCTGGAATGAATCACACTTTGTCCTTTGCTTTTTAGAGTCTTCTCTTCTGTCATATTTGCAGCTATGAATGTTGGTCAGTCTTCTTCCATGGCACCAGACTATGGCAAAGCTCGAACATCAGCTCAAAGAATTTTTCATCTTTTGGATAGAAAACCTGTAATTGACAGTTACAGTGAACAAGGTGAAAAATTGGTAAGGGTTGGTGTCGTTTTGTATGGGAGCTTGGCGGGAGATGTGTTTCTTTGGGGTTTTGGGTGTATTTTTCTGGAAGGAGTGTTCAATTTTTCACAGGAATAATTGTTGTAACAAACTAAATTAGTAATTATCTATTATTGGCAAGTGTATTCACAGGTGTCTATTTCATAGGGTGTCACAAAAGGATGCTGAATTAGGATGACCTGAAGGGAGCCTACAAGAAAGATGGAGAGGGACTTGTTACAAGAGCATGTAGTGATGGGACATGGGGGAATGGCTTAAAACTGAAAGAGAGCAGACTTAGATGAAATGCTAGAAAAAAAAATATTTCCTGTGAGGATAGAATGAGTTGCCCAGAGAAGTTGTGAATATCCCATGCCTGGAAGTGTTCAAGACCAGGCTGGATGGATCTCTGAGTAGTCTGGTCCAGTGAAAGGCATCCCTGCCCATGGCAGGGGTGTTGGAACTAAATGTTCTTAAGGGCCCCAACCAATCCAAACCATTCTATGGTTTTGTCAAACAATATAAATAGTGATACTGATTTATTTAAGGACTGTATTATTTCTGAGTTTCAGACAAAACTGTATGGCCTTTCAGATAGTTTTTTTCTCTAAATTATAAAAAACAATACTTTTCATTCTACTGACTCACAGTGTAAATGGCTTTAGGAAAACACTGATAATGTCACTTCCAATAAAATTTTTGTTGTCTTTGTAAGAGTTTATAGGAAAAATAAAATGCATTTTTCTAATTTTTTTTTTGTAAATAAGAGATTAATTCCTTTACAGACAGGTACTTTGCCAAAAGCCATCCTATTCCATCTGTGGAAATTTTACAATTAAAAATGGGCTCTTGTGAAGTCAAAACAAGCTTAATGAATAATTTAGTTTGTTTTAAAGTTGGGGGAGGAAAGATGACAAGCAAAAAAAAACAATAAAAAGTATAAATCAGAAAACATTCCAAAATTCCCCAAAGAGCCTTGCTTCTAAATCAAAATTGTCATTAAGGAGCCTGACCTCAGCACTTATCAAATTTATGCATGTAATGCTTTCAATTTACATATTCTGGAAGGATTACAATGGTACATCCAAGTTCATCTAAATTTAAAATTAACTTCCCATGTAGATTTAGAGGGTAGTTCCTTCTCAGGAAGCTGTAATTCAGTTTTCTATAACTTCAAGCTTATATACAGGATTTTCAGCCTTTAAAGTTCTGAGAATGCTTGCATATTTTCTTGAACCAGGGTTCTCTGATGCAGACATTGAAAGACTTGGCAGGAGGTATCCAATAAACTTACGTGCAAACATTTTTAGTGTGGACTGGACTTAACTGCCAGTGATGCCTATGACTTAGCAAAGCAAATGTTTGAGTCCATAAAATCAGGTTTTTACCTCCTGTGAGAGCATTGTATTAGTGGTGCTGCTGGCATGTACAGAGAGCTGGCTCATACCCCAAAGAACAGGACAGCCTTGGCATGTTCCCCCTTTCTTCCACTTGTGCTTAAATGTCAACTTGTCTAGGATGTCTAATTATCACTGCTTTTTTAAACACAGCTTGTCATTTGTGCTTGTTGATAACCTACTGAAGAATTTAACTCAGCTATCTTAATCTCTGATTTTTATCTTGTGTTACATTTGTTCAAATTGTGCTACCTGCAGGGTAAGATCAGGAAAGAAAATGTTACAGTTTATATCACAAGTAGAAGTATCTCAAATGTATTAGAAATTAAAAATCTGGATATTTTCTACTTTTCTTAAGACAGTGGTTGAACGCTGGAACAGGCTCCCCAGGGAAGTTGTCATAGCACCAAGCCTGGCAGAGTTCAAGAAGTGTTTGGAAAATGCTCTCAGGCACACGGTGTGATTCCTGGGGATGGTGCTGTCTAGGGCCAGGAGCTGGACTCTGATCCTGAGGAGTCCCTTCCATCTCAGCTTATTCTGTGCTTCTGTGATGCTCTTTTCAAAGATAAAGTAAGAAATAGACACAAGAGATGCAGAAAACTTCTCCAGAAGGATGTAGTGACTTACAGATCATCCTATACCTAGTGATACTATGCTCAGTCCAATATGTTATTTAAAAGAATTTCAAAAGCATATTTTCAAAACACTTTCCCAAACTTTCTTGGCTCTCTCACTTTAATAACCAAGTCTTAACAAGTGTTGTTATAGTAAAGCCTAATAAATATTAATATGAGAACTCTCTTCTGCTTTTCAGAGCCATTTTGAAGGCAACATTGAATTCAGAAATGTCCATTTTGTATACCCAACAAGGCCAGAAGTTCAGGTTTTGCAAGGACTCAGTGTGAAAGTTAAAAAGGGACAGACTCTGGCATTAGTAGGAAGCAGCGGCTGTGGCAAAAGCACATCCATTCAGCTCTTGGAGAGATTTTATGACCCTGTGGAAGGACAAGTGGTAAGAATAGAATTGTGTGGCTATTAATAGTAATTAGATCTACAGAACTCTTTATCTGCCAAGGTTTCAGAGGCTTTTGACAAGTCTGGTAGTCCCTCTGTGGAGAAGCCTTTTTTTAGAGGTGTGAGTTACGGAGGCTGTGCCTCCAGTGGATCTGTAGACAGTCCCCAAACCCCTGTCATTGCCTGCCCTGTGCATTTGCCCACGTGTCCCAGCAGTGGAATCCATGCTGGCAAAATGTGCTTCCTCAGGTCACAGACCTTGCCTGGGAAAGGAATGACCATGTCTGACTGGATTTCCACCCCAAGGCTCCTCACACCCTGGTCAGACAAGGGCTAATAACACTAATGTACCTTGCTTGTCACTGTTTAAAATTTCTTGCTCATGTGAACACATTAGGGACACAGATGCATGCTTCAGATAACAAATGTAATCTCACATAGATATTTTTTCACCATCAGGAGGTTCCAATGGGCTTGTTAATGGGTATAGAAAGTGGATGTTTTAAGATCAAAAGGCATACAGCTGAGAATATTTATTGTTGTGTTCAGCTTTTTAAGGGGCAGGCTATCCCATGAGCCTCCTGGTGCTTCTTGTGGTCAGTAGGGCTGTAAGGACCACAAGAACAACCTGTTACCTGCACGTTGTTTCTGCTTGCTAGCAACTGGAAGCAAAGCAACAAAAAATTAAATATCAATGCAGGAAAATATTTGTCTATTCTGTTGGTTCTTTTCCATTTAGCATGCAAAAAATTACTTGATTACATCAGGTAAAATAACATATAATGGGCTTTCTCTTAGAATTCACGTTTCCTGTTTATAGCAGCTATGTGTGCATGAGTTCAGTAGCAAGCTTGGCATCATGTTTCTGTTGCTTTTTCTAGCTAGCAGATGGATTTGATACCAAATCACTGCATTTACAATGGCTGAGGTCCAGGCTGGGCCTGGTGTCACAGGAGCCCATTTTGTTTGACTGCAGCATTGCTGAAAATATCCAATATGGAGACAACAGTAGGGTGGTTAGTCAGGAGGAAATTGAAGAAGCAGCTAAAGCAGCAAATATTCATGCCTTCATTGAAAAACTGCCAGAGGTAAGAGACAGTGATGTTCTCTTCACAGTGAGATCATATATTTGGAATGATATAGAGATATCAAGGTAGTGCTCACTTTTGTTTCCCCTAATATAATAGTCTTTATGTTTTAAAATGTCAGTGTGTTTCAAGCTTAAAATCCTTTCTTTTTTGTTCAAAAAAAAAAAAAAAGCCAATGTTTTCATTATTACAGTGGTAGACAACCCAGAATATTTGGGGGGGTGGGGGGAGGTAGGGAGAGGGAAATGATAGAATGCTCTGTGTATAAGTAAGTGCTCATAATATTTTTTTTAATTTATTTTTCCTTTGACAATAGAAACTCTTCAAGTAACTCTGATAGACATTTTTCTAAAATAAATAGTAAAAGAAAGCAGTCTATTTCTAATTGAATAGATATGCAAAGGATTTCTTAGTAAATACAAAGGGACAGTAAATCAAAAGAGAATGGCATGGCATTTGACCTTCATGCCTGAAAAGAATTTGGTTCTAACAAGGAAAAATGTTTTGATAGCTTGTTTTCACTGTAGTTCTGGGTACCTGAAACTGAGGCAATAATGTTGAAAAATATTTAATTTTCATTACTACTAATAATGTTTGAGATTCTTAATTCACAAGCAATGTAACTTCAAATTCTTTGTGCATATGTCAGTAAGAATTAAATTGTTAGTTAATCTTATTATTATATGCTCTTTGGGTGCCTCACTGCTGGTACCATTCAAGACCTATTCCAGCCTTTGAGGGAGTAAATTTTCAGACTGGATATGAATATGTGTGGCTGTATATATAACTGCTTGTATTAGAGATGTTTCTAAAGCTTTCTCTTTCTTGAAACCACTTGCACTATTCTTTCTTTTGGGATGAAAATTCTTAACTTTTAGAACCATGAATAAATTTTACTTTTCTAATCTTCCTTCTCTAATAGTATTCACTGGTGATCTTTTTTATCTTTTAACACCCAGAAATATAATACCCGGGTGGGTGAGAAAGGAGCACAACTTTCTGGAGGTCAAAAACAAAGAATAGCAATTGCCCGTGCTCTGGTTCGTAATCCTGCTGTTCTTCTTCTGGATGAAGCTACCTCTGCTCTTGACACGGAAAGTGAAAAGGTGAATAATGATTATGATGTGAAATACTTATGCCTATGTACATGGCTAGTTGCTTTTTGTAGAATAAAATTAAAGTAAACATACTAGAAATGTTCAGTTGTGAAACAAGTCAGGTATATCACAGTAGCCTTTCTATCTGAAAGGTTTGAATTGAACTATCCTAGAAAGATATTTATATTTACTGAATAAAAAGTAGGAAAAAAAAGAAACTTTAAGTATAAAATTCCACATTGATCTGATACTCCTCAAATGTCTTCCTATCAGATGTATTTGATGGTAAATACTGAATTTGTGTTCTGACCTAAGCTGAGTGCCCAAGAAACCACTTCTCCATGTCTTACACTTGTTTGACCAGGCTCACTGACTTCAGTGAGAAATCCTGTTGAGTACATGTATATATCTGTGGGGCGTGTATTCAGGTGATAAGAAAGTGAGAAATCAAAGGTAGTTCTTAGGACAAGGGAAGCCTTTTCAGGTGCTAACAGTATTGCTCTGTTCTCTGTGGACAGATTGTCCAGAAAGCTCTGGATAACGCCCGGCAAGGTCGGACCTGCATCGTCATTGCTCATCGCCTGTCCACTGTGCAGACAGCCGACATCATCGCAGTGATCCAGAATGGAAGGGTGGTCGAGCAGGGCACCCACAGCCAGCTACTGGCCAAGGAAGGACACTACTATGCCCTTGTAAATGCACAAGTCTCTAATTAGTACTACTTGCCGAGTTGTTGGGGTTTTTTAATTTTGTTTTGGTTTTTTTATGGGAAGACATTAAAATCTCTACAGAGGATTATTGTTGGCTGTGTTTGTGCTAACCAAGCAGGAGCCGTGTTGCAGCCTGGTTGCTGTATCCACTGCAGCCCTTGGGGATGTGCAGTGCATGCCCGGTGCTGGGTCACAGGAGGTGCACAGAGGAGTCCTAGGGCCTGAACGTGTTGAGCAGTTTGGTGTGTCACATGCTCTGGAGAGTGTCAGACCTGCTGTAGTCTCACCCACAGCTCAGGTGGGTACCCTGCTCTTTGCGTCCCCCCAGACCCTGGTCCACAGACCAAGGCGATAACAGAGTACAACGGCAGTTAAGGATCATGGCTAAACAAAATGCTGGTGCTCGTGATTGCTCTTTGGGTTTCTTCACCAGCCAGATGAAGTCATAAAGTCTTCTATAGTTAAAGATTATTATCAATTCTCACTGAAAAGTGAGATTCCAAAAAAATTACATTAAAAAGAAGGATGTTGATGCATGGGTTTGGTTTTTCCCTACTTTATGCCCCATTTCTCATATTACTGTGTTTCACACATTTCTTGGACATTCAATACTCTAATTCAGATGATAATTATAATAGTTACAACCTTTCCATATCAAAAAAACTGCACAAAATACCATTGTTTTTTTAGTATTTTTCAAATGCTGACCTTTCAGAGTTTAGTCATTCTTTGTATCCATCAAGATAATTTGTGTAGGGAGCTGGGATGGCATCTATTGGAGTGAATTCCTGTCAGCCATGTAAACAACTTTTCTTTAAAATAAAGAAAAAAGGAAAAGTTGTTTTCAATATAAGTTCCTTTATTTTCAATAGGCATAGTACTTAGGGTGATGGTGTAGTAGTGGACCTGATAGTGTTAGGTTAACATTTGGACTTGATAATTTAAAGGGGGTCTTTGCCATTCTAAATGAGTTTATTATTCTATGAAGAATTTCAAAGATTTTTTAAAGTGTTGTCAAAGCTTGTTTATATATGTGCTTTAATAATTTTTTATTCCTCTGGTATATTCCTCAGGGTGCTACAATACATCCTTTAACTGTTGACTGTGTAGTCAGAGTGACTCAGCAGCTGGGGTTTTTTGGCTGGTTAAACCCAATTGCAGCATTTCAATTTTCCAAGGCTTTGCACGTGGCTTTGGGTTAGGATTTATAGCCTGGAGCAACCTGCAGTACTTTATAATTTCCAGATTGTAGTAGACAAACTTACAGTAATTCCCTTCTCCTTTGCTCATTTCACTTATTTTCCGGTATCAGAATCTGCAAGGGGAATAAAACACACTAAACAAATCTGATCTCAGGTTTGCCAAAATAAATAAAGTTGCTCTCCCTCAAAGCTTTTTCTCAGAGACTGTTTCAAGACTGTTTCATTCAGTCATCCCTCTTGTGTGATCTCTTAATTTTCTTGTGATAGGCACATACTGTGGAACTGCTGCCCCTATTACATTCCCAATTATCTAATGTGGGCTTCAATTAATTCCCTTTTCCCTGTTTTGTTTCTGCACTGCAGTTAAAATTACAAGCACTAGATTTTGATTCTCAGTTTTGAAAATAAATAAAGGAAAGTAGCAACTATTTTTTTAGCAGTGAGTAATTTTTGCCCAATTCTTCCCTTTCCCATTACCAGTCTCCATTTTTTTGGAGCTTTCTAGTAGTGGACATTGGAAACAACTCCCCACTCTGAGGATCTTACCAAGCCTCAACCTCTGTAACAGCCAGGCTGATCCTCAGGGATCCAAGAATGCTGCATCTATGGCCGGGGAGGTGCAAACTGCTTTGGTAGTTCTTTGGTCCTGCCTCGGGGCCACCATGAGCAGAGAACCCTTGGTGCTATGAAAGGAGCCCTGTCCCTAGTGCAGGACCAATGCAAACACCTGGGCCCTCGACACTGCTGTGCCTGCCCACTAGCACACAGATTGAGCAGGATGACTTCACTGACTCCATCAGATATAAATATGTTCAGCTTGTAGGCACTAATAGTAAACTCTGTGCTCTGATAGTTTATCTCAGACTATCCAAGTCACCTTCCTGGGTGGCTATGCCCATAGAGCTTGCAAACCAGCTACGCTCTAATTAAAAGCAGACCTAAATTAAGAAAGTAATGTATGTCAAAACCACCTATTTCAGCACCAAGCCCTATATGATACAGAGATCAAAATAATCAAGCCTGAGAATTCATTGGTTTCACCAAGTAAACACTCAATTTTTCCTTCAAAATGCTTTCTGAATGCCTTCTCTGAAGTCTTCACTCTCTTTTCTGGGAAGCCATATCTTAATTCCATAGAAGATTAGATCAGGGCTGGCATCAAGCAAGTTTCTGAGCTAAGTGCTTCTCTTCTAGACATGAATGAGGCCTTTGGTATTCCTTGACAAGCATAGGCCAATATGTTCCCTTCATCCCTATCCTTGTGGCAGTCATTTTAGGGGTGAAGTCCCCAGTGACACCGGCAGTGACTCACCATATTATGGGCACCTTTGGAGAACGCCAAGACTTGTGCAAGGTTGGGGGAGACTTTTAACTCTGACACCTGGAATATAAAGCAGCACAGAACAAACATTTCAGGAAATGAAAATGTCAGTATGAACATGTCTTGGCTCTGACCAGGTTAGGGTTAGTTCTTGCAGTAGCAAGGAGGGGGCCTGGCCAGGACCCAAAGGTTATTCTGTGCTACCTCATCCTTGACAGGTGTGGGGAAAATGGAGTTTCTTCTGGGAAGAAGGGGTTCTTTTGGTTGAGTAAGTGTGGTTTTGTTATAGCAATGCTCCAGCTTGGCCCCCATTTAGGGCTCATCTGCTGCCTGCAACCATGGGCACTCTGCCCAAGGAAAAACAAACTTACCTTAGGGAGACCAGCAAGAAAGCTCAAGAGGGACTTTTTACAAGGACATGCAGTGATAGGCCAAGGCTTTGAACTGAGAAAGTAGATTAAGAGCAGATATTAGGAAGAAATTTGTTACTATGGGCTGCTAAAGTGCTGACATGGGCTGCCCAGAGAAAAATGTATGTCCCACCCCTGGAAGTGTTCAAGGCCAAAGTGGATGGGGCTGTGAACAAAGTGGTCTGTGGAAGGTGTTCCTGCCCATGGTGGGGAGGCTGGGACTGGATGATCTTGCATGTCCCTTCCAACCCAAACCAACCTGTGATTCCATGGAGAGCAGAAAAATTCACACAGTTTATCTAGAGGTGTGGTTGTATCTTACTGAAACAGGAAATACAGTGGCAGCTTTTCCAAGGCATTTCCAAACTCTTCTGTTTCTTAATGGATTTGAATAATATTAGAGGAATGTGGTCTGGCAATCACTAGAACTATATCCAAATTGTGAATGAACTGGACAAAATAATGGATAAAAGCCTGTGGTTTAGCTCTTTCTGTGTATCCCTGCTGCTGCATGTAGACAAACCAGACTTCTGTAAAATACATTTTCTCCATGTCTGAGACATTAAAGTGTTTCTACCATCAATGTAGTAAAGAGAAACAGCTGGGCAACAAGGTCACAAACAGCATCTGTGTAGTTTCTTCTTACAAAATGCGATTGAAAGGCTGTTTGTTTAGTCCTGATCCTTAGGTACTTGTAAATTACTGGTAGTTTTAGATGCAAATGTAGAAGAATCCAGCTGCCTTATCATTTACCACCTTCCAGCTGCCCTATATATAAGCTTCACCACAGTTGCCCATTGCCCTAACATTACCCAGGGTTATGGCTCTCCCTGACTGTTCTCTTTCAGTTGCCTGGACTGCTTTTCCTCCTCAAGCACCTTGCCTAGCACACACAACAGATGCTGCACCATGTGATCTGGTGCAAAACAGAGGTGAGAGGGGAAGTGACAAAACAACAGCAAAGCTAAAGGATTGCTTTCTAAAATTAACAAAAATTTCTCAGCAGAAAACTGGTCACTGCATTCAGTAAATTAATAACTTACACTGGATTGCTTTCATCTGCCTCTGTGCTGTGCTTTGTTATCCAGAGTGCAGGCAGCTCCTATCTACCTGAAACCCTAGCAATTAGCTCATTTTAGCATTTTACTGCCTACCTGGTTCATCAGCAGTTAAGTCCAGAAACTATTTCCTGAAGCATATCTTGCTAATATTTCCAAATGTTATTTGGAAATATTTTTTTTTCTTGCCCTTAGGGAAGCTCACACATCTGCTGGAGTTATCCCCAGTCTGCTCAGTGACATCAGTATCACAAGCTCCAAAGCAAACTTGCAGAGCCTTCCTGTAATTCTCCTGAAGATGCCAGTCTTTTCTGAATGCTTTCACAGAAAGATGTTTTAAAGTCATGTTTGTTCAACAAATAGATTTTGTGGACTTGTTAAAATTGACCAATATATGTTTCTTCTTTCCATAGCAGTAACATTCTCATTTCTTTCTAATCCTTATGAACAGAATGTGTTTTTACTGCCCTCTCTCTCCTATGTTATCCAAGGCAAAACCAACTTGCAGTCAATCACCACTGGAATAGTCCCTTTTGTTATGGTCCTTGAAGTCTGAAAGAATGACTATATGAATATGGTTATTTTTGTGGAAATAATTGTTCAAGTTCACCCCAAGGAGAAGAGGATATCCTCAGTATTTGATCCACTGTGAGCAGCATTCATGGAGAATGCACGTTATTCTACCAAGAGGGCAACAAGGGGGAAGGGGCATGGCTGTGGGGCGCTTACCGCTCAACTGCAGACATTTGGGTCCAAAGCAATCAATCAGATTCCTTTATAGTGCTCTAGAACATGACTTTTCTGTTTCCAAATGTCTGCCTGAACAGACGGTGAACTACATCAGGGAAGGGCTTATTTCTTACCATCCGCTGAAAAGAAGAGTATCAGTTTTTACTCAGAGTATGCATTTACATTTACATCAGGGGATGGGAGTTCAACTCCGAATGTTTTACCTTTCTTAAAGAGATTGCTAGGTTAATTTATCAGTCCCACAAATAATTCTTGGAGATCCTTACCTGGGACCTCCAGGCCTCTCCAGATAGGCACTGGGGAGCCCAGTCTTGCAGACAAGTGCTTTGAGGAAGAGGAAGGGTCAATGCAGTAAAGAAGGCCAAGTTTTCTTCATCTAGATATTAACTGTGCAAGAAGCTTTGGAGTGAAGGGAGAACATTCAGGAAACAGGAAATATTTATCCAGAGTGTGTAAAAATTGAAAGTAAACATACAGATTGTAGAAGAACCCAAACCAGCTTTTAACCATGACTGAATTTGGACAATCTGCATTTTTTTCCCCTCTTGGATGGTATGTGGAAAATTTTA